TGTTTATGTATTTTTAGTTTTTTGCACTAAGTAATCCCAAAATACAAGAATTTGTATACACACCATCCACTGATACACATACAATAGTAATGCTAATCTACTCGGTCTCCTCCATTTGGCCACAGGTTCTCATCCACATCACATCTTATGTCATCTAGGGCAACACACCTAGGAAAGAATCTCCTGGCATGCCAGAACTGAAGGAGTTGAAAAATTGAAGGAGTAACACCTGTGTAGATGTTCATCTACAATGAGAATAAGCTGTGGCTGGTTAAACTGCATTTTTAGATTTAAAATATGTTTCAATAAAATATTGCTGTTGAATTTTGCTGTCTTTTTAAGTTTTGCATTGTGTTATTGTTTTGGCCACAAGTTTAACAGTTTTGAAAACAGTATGTAAGCACATGCAAAATGTCCTGTACGTACAAAGATTTTTGGCAGTTGTTGTGTCTGAGTGAGAAGATAATTCATGAAATTTGAGAGATGTAGTCATTGAATGCATTTTGTGCCAAAACAATGATAACTGGTCCTCAGTTTAGCCCACATAGACTTCTGTTGTGCTCAACGTGTGAGGAGTTTTGCAAAAGTGACCTAAGTATTGAGAAATGTGTCCTAGCGTCTGTAAAAAACTGTAAAGTGGAATTTAATGTATTTTATTTGAAATTCCAAATAATGATGCTGTAACTGAATGGAAGACATTTGTTAGTAACTTTATGTAGTGCATGAGTAATTTCTGTGTAGTTTCTTGGTAATTTTGTGGAAAAACAAACAATATTTCTTCATCTTACATTTAAATAAGTTGTTCTTTTTGGGGCTGAATTATGGAGTGGCTTCACCTTCAAGCTGTTGGACAGGGATGGAGTCACAATGAAACTGTATAAAAAAACTGGCTCGATTATGAACATAAAACCTCTTGAAATTAGGCAAAGTTCAGACGCTCCATAATACAGCCTGGCTGAGCCCCAGAAAGTACCGCGTTGCTGTAAATGTTCCAGATGTGATGTGAAACCTGGTGGGCACTGCACACTCAGCCACAGTTCCCATATGTTTATCTGGTTCTTTCAGGGAGTCCACCTTTAACAGGAGGTGTAGTGCATTACAGGTCCGAGGTAATGCTGTGGGGGGGGGGGGGGGGTTGCATTACTGTGGCACGTTTCATTACAATATAAAGCATTGGAGGGGACTGTTGTTGTGATATAAAAATAAAACTGTGAGGCAGCCAGTGGTGGGCCAATCACAGTGTCTGATTATGAACAGAGCTGGGTCACATGGATCTGACCTCATTTTTATGTGAACATGGCTCTCAGCTCTGCTTCTGATTTGAACCTGGATCCCTCATCGTTCAGGCCCAGTCTGTTGAGTTCACTGCTATACAAAAGCGCGGTAAGATCCACCACAGGCACCCCACCAGCACCTCAACTTATTAATGAAAGCAGGTCTAATGAACATTGTAATCAGCCCTCATGCATAATTTGTATGCAAATGTAAACCTGAGAACATGGCTTCCTGTCCGTGGTGGAAGCTGCAGCCCCCGACGGCATATCAAAGTTTCACGTTCAGCGTGTAACAATGTGGACAAATATTTGATTATTTCTGATATAATTAGAGGTTTTCTCAGGCTGACTGGGCACCACTTTTCTTCTGTCTTGAAAGTGCACAATACTATCATAAGGACCTTTGCTCGTTTATGAGCACGAGTCTAATTAAAATTGTAATCAGCCTTCAGAATCACGCATAATTTCCCAGTAAATGTGGGATGTAAACCTGAGAACATGACTTCCTGTCCTCAGTGGCACCTCCTGAATATTAGCATGATATTAAAGTTTCACACTCAGCTTTTTACCTTGTGAAAATTATTTTATTATTAATGTGATTATATATTTTTCTCAGGATATTGTTCTGCTTCCTTTCCTGTTCTTCTGCCTCAGATTGTTTAGTTTTGCTTTGAGCCTTTCAGACTTGGACTCAGCTTTGTCTCAGTTAATGAGGGGAAGAGGGAAGCTGTCCTTCCAGTCTCTTCACTTATCGCAGGACTACAAAGCCATACACAAATCTTTTATCCTGGTTCTTCCTGGAAGATCCTTTTATACTAAATGAGATTTATAGTATCTCCAGAAAGATCTGTTCCTGCGTCAGAATGCCATCCAGGTAGTCATCCATGGAAAGCTACTGAAGGACCCCAGCTCCTGGAGGAGGAACACACCATCTTATTTGTCTGTTTCATAGATGGTGGCGTCCACACAGTTACCATAGAAACAGGAGCACATAAAACCTTCGCATCAGCTTCATAGATCACAGATCCTGAGAGAAGTCCACAAACAAACACACACACATGATTGGATGTGTGAAGGCTGAAGGCGGGTTGTCGGGCTGAGAGGCACACTGTGTGTCTCAGGAAGCTCTTCACTGTTTTCACACTGATTTAAATGTGTTTATTCTGGGTGGAGGTGGGCTGTTTGTGGGTGTGTTGGCTCTCCTTCAACCCGGACTTCTTCTCCCTGAGCTTACCTGACCTTGTCTGGTGGCTGATGATGGCTGCTCCATCAGGAGCTTGGAGCTCAGCTGACATTAATCGTTAGAGTGAATGTCCACACGGTTAAACTCCTACCTCACCCGCCACCAACCTGCCGCAGCAGGGTGGAGCAGCGAGGATGCTGCGCAGCAGCTACAGATGATTGATCTGCAGCTCTTTGGATTCAGGATGAAATATTTCAGTCATTTAGTGTAAAAGACTGAAAAGATCCTGCTGTCCTAGCGTGATGGTTTGAGGCTTTTAATGAAAAGCACAGCCTGACGTAAACCTGGAGGATCTCTGAGTAACTTCGTCTCACCTTGTTGTGTGTAATTGCTTTAATCAGCCAAAACCAGCAACACACACAGACACACACATACACACAGAGCATGTTCTGGTTGTCACGTATGACTTGATGCCCACTGTCACCGGTTTCAATCCCGGCTAGTCCACAGAGTGTTTCACAGCTCCATGCTTAGTTTGACTTTGTTCCTAACTAGATCCACCTGAGACAGACCTGAACACTCTGCAGTGGAAACACAAACTCTGAGTGTCTGCTTCATCTAACAGAGCCAGATATTTTCCTGGTTAGGTATGGCTGAAGGAGGCAGTAAAGCACAGCCAGCGATGAGAGGATAATGAGAGGGAAAGACAAAGTGATGAGGAAAGGGCCGGCAGATGGATCTCAGGAATGAAGACACAAAGGAGGCTGAAGCAGACGTGACAGGCGGATTCGGTGTGGAAATGGAGGGAATGGAGATGGATGGAAGGATGATGATTTCACACAACCTGCTATCAGTGTCGTCTGAATCAAAGTGAGAGAATCAGGATTAGCCGGGAGAGAGGAGGAGATGTGACAGAGCTGAGAGTAAGGCAGCGATAAGAGCAGAGAAGCAAAGACACAAACTCTCACGTGCACATCGTTTCTTTTTATTCTCCCGTCTGCTCACTAATCTGTCTCACGGTGTTTCAATCAGCAGATTCCTCACGCTCAGCTAAAAATACGGAACAGCAAGAGTCAGGTCAAAGTTCACATTTAAAAAGCCTCTTGTGAGTACATCGGGGGAAGGGTGCCTCTCACTCTATTCCTGAGAGCTGAACAACGCAGAGAGGTTCAGCTAAACTGGGAAAGGGTTTCTGATGAGCTGCAGCTCCAAACGAGCGAAACACGTTACATAAAGTCTGCATCACCTCCTCAGACTGTGACCTTCAGACGCATCAGCACAGAAACACTTCATTTACCTCCTGCTAATGCTCAAGTTAAACTGACAGTGTCTAATAAAGAGCGTGGTCAGTAAACACTGTGAGCCTGAAGCTCCAAACACTCCGGCTATCACAGTTTCTTCTGCTTGCACATTTTTATGATGTTAGTGAGGGAGGCTATCCTTATATGACTATGTCAGGGACACAGCATCCCCGTGTGAGCACTGAAACTTTCAAGCCTTGCGTTTATGAGGGACAGCCAATCAGACTAAGGTTGGTTAAAGGGGGAAGAACTAAAACAGCTCATTTCAGGCAGAGGATGAAATAAGGAGCTGCAGGTTCAGGATCACACACCGGGACTAAAAAGTACAGGAAATTAAAAAAACTAAAATAAAATCAAGCTTGATGTCCATCTATAGCTCGTAATCAGGATCATGCAGTAGATGTTAGTGCTAACGTTCGACACTAACATTACAGGTACAAACTGTGAGGCTTTAGTGCAGCTTCACAGCCACAGACACATCAGATCTGCAGAGCTGTGCTCGAGTCAGAGACCTGAAGAGTTTCCAAAGCTTTCGAATGTTGTTAACAGAGCAACAATTTACAAAATGAGCCACCCCATATGGAAAAGATATATATAAATCCTATAAAGTTTGTATCTGTCTTGTGTGAAACTTGTATAAAAAGCATACAAGAGTGGAAACACATATATGATGCCTTGAAAAATTATATAAATGAAACTTGTATGTTTTGGATACTTACTAAAACAATATATGAAAGTGGCCACTTTTATGAGTAAATCATATAAGCCTAATATGATTTACAATATGAAGGCCACATCTGATGCAAGACTTTTATAAGTTTTTTCTATTTCTTTTTCATATGGGACAGAAAGCCTAAATGTGTAGATTAAAGCCATGTTGACTGTTTCTCAAGAGAGAGTGGTTTTTGAATGAGTCAACAGAAGCCTGAAGAGATGTGTTTGGAGCCAACAGCATGGCTTCACTCTGATTTCAGCCTCCAGCCACCATAGTTCCCTCTCGGCTGCACACGTGTAGGTTAGTTTGATGCAGAGGAAACCTTCACCAAACTGTAAGACCACACAGAGGGATTTCATCAGGCTAGGGGCAGCACTTTACTGAACACCTGTGTGACGTGTTTGTGGCCTTAACTCAGCACCCACAAAGACAAGTGTAGACTGTGTCAGGTACTCAGGCAGAGGTCATCATTCAGAGAGGCTTCAGGAAGACGAAGAACTTAAAGAAGAAATGTTTGTGGACAGCTGTTGTTACAGATGTTACTTTTATTTCCAGACACATATTTCATTACACTGCTGAGCGCTGTTAAGTTTACAAATAGATCAGCAAATTTACAACCTTCCTCACCGTCACCTTTGTCCTCATTTTACTCTTTCCCAACACACGGTCGTACCAGCACAAAGCCCTGTTCAGTCATCCTCAACACCAATGTAAAATCAGACATCCATCCTGAACAAACAGTTCTTTGTTTTCAAATACAATTAGTAATGAATGAATTGTTATGAATCAGATATCATGGTGTTCCACAGGGATCGATCGTTGGACTTAAATTTAAAAAACTTCAATTTTACACTTGCGTCAGTGATTTGTTTTAATTTTAGTTTTTGCTGACGATACCATCCTATTCCTTGGAGATAACCACATTTATACAGGAAGGAAATTAAGTACAAATGTGAAAGATAAACTTGCCTGCCAACATTAACAGAAGTTACTGTAAATATTGCATTGTGACATTTCTGCCATTCATTTCAAATATTTTTCTCCCAAAATTTGAATTCTTCTACCATTAAACAGATAATTTTGTGATTTGTGTGCTGCTGAAATCGAATGTTTTCATGTTGATGGTGCTTGTAAAACAGGGGAACATCAAGCCTGCCAGAGATCATCTTCTGGGGATCATGAAAAGTTACAGTAAAGTTATGGAAATCGATTTTAATATTTTGTTATTTATAAAGTTCTGCACTATCTCAACACTAGCACTTTAATTCTGAAATAAAACCTGAAGCTTCAGCAGCACTAAGGCAGTGGAGGGATGAACTGCCCCTCTGGGGACCATGGATTATCACACTGCTAATGAAACACTCAGGATCCCGATGTGCAGGGCATCATGAACAGTCAGCGTTACGTTAACACTGAGTTAATGAAAATCACATTTTAATTCACATTTTAAGCGAAAAAAGGTGTCTGGATGATGCCGATGAGAAACTCCAGGGAAAAATGCTCCTGGAATAAAAGTAGATGAAAAAAGCAACATGATTACGGGACAAGAGGAAGGCCGAGGTGATTAGAAATATATGACTTCATCGTCCAATTTCAGACACAAAAACAAATCTGTCCTAATAATGATACTGCTGAAAGCCCAAGGGGAAATATCACAATGTTTACAACAAATTTAATAGCAATCTCACTGATTTGGACAATTGTGTAATGACCCTTCACAGACACGGTAATACGTTTTCCTGACCGCTAGCAGGGACGACAGTAATAATCACACTAAAGTAAGGACGCACCAGCGCCTCTGGAACTGATCTCAGGTTTTCCAGCCCACGGATGGCACAAAGTGACGACTACCTCGAGCTTCAACTGGTGACAACCTTGCAGCACAACAGTTCATTTTCTGCATCCTGGTAGCTTCTATGAAACATAAAAAATACCCCACAGAGTGGCCAGAGGTACTGTACACACTGAGAACCCCACACACACTCACATATTAAACACATTAAGGGAAGCAAACGCAGGAGGAAGTGATCCAAATGTTACAAACAGCTGTTTGCCATCCACCTGTCAGTCAGAAGCCACGCCCCTAATAATGTAAACTTTAATACAATTTAAACAGGTGAATCATAAAGAGTGATTATGAAGGGGAAATTATCTATAGAGACCAAACAGTTTGTGTATCAGGCTGTACATGTGTTTTTTTGGGCTGACTGCAGAAGAACCTGAGCCAGTCTGCTGGAAACAGTGACCCTGCCCTTTAACACGCTAACACTAGTGACAAATCCTTTCCTTGAATTATTGATGTTTTCAGTCACCTAGTTCTCTTGGAACTTTCATTTTCTCAGAAGGGAGTTTTTCTTCCCCACTGTTGCCGAGAGCTTCTGTCTAATTGCAGGGTCTTACAGTATAAACACCCCTGAGGCGACTGCTCTTGGATAGTTGAAGCAGTTTTACATGTTTTTTGTGTTATTAGGCTTAAAAGAGAAAGCCTAAAACCTACAGTGAAATGAAATCAACCAACTTGTAGGGACAATAGAGGAAAAAGCTCCTCGAGGTGAGCTAGTGATAAGTTCAGCTTTTCTCCATTCTAAGTGACTGAAGCCGCTACCAGAGGAAGTGACGACAGCCTGATAGCATCGCCTGCTAACATGGTGCCAAAGAAGTGCACTCGATGTCTGGAAGCTAAACATAGATCCAAAAGAAATGTGGTCTACTTAGAAACACGGTGGCTCTGAAGCAGGTACCACTTCATATGATCGTATTTGAACCGCTGATGATAAGAAGCAGCGTAAGAACACAAACAACTTTTATGCTCTGAACTGAAGAGTCTTTGTCAACAGCCCCAAGAGCTGCCAGGACAGAGGATGGTTTCATACAGGTATGAATATAGTTGAGTCTTTGGTGCATCTTGGAGACGGTACATTTGAAACCAGAAACTCCGCAGACATAAAGCTGCTGTGAATATGTCAGGTGTCAGCTGCCACCCAGCTGCCTGAGACTCTGCAGCTGTAACGGGTGGTGGGAGTCACTTTTTCTGATAGTGCGAGCATAGCTGGTGATCATCCAGAAACTGTGTGAGGAAGCTCAGTAGCTATAAAACAGAGACTCTGGGAGTAAGCAGGGAGTAAACATTTTCCCTGCCCATTCTGCTCTTAATCACCTATTTTAACCGCCCGCTGCGTGTGTGAAGAAGTACAACTCAAATCTCCAAATCTTCTAATGAGCAAGTGAATGTAGGTCCGACTTTCATCACAAAGGACAGACTTTTATTTGTTCCCCTAACCCAAACCAACGGGATCCAAAAACCCATTGGTTTGGGTTCGAAAAAATGCAGTGAAGCGGCGAGCACTGACAAGAAGTCTGGTGGGACACAACCCAACAACTGTGCTTCACCCCAGACTGCAGTCACTCTCACTGTCATTTCTAACCTGAGTCCGTCTGTGCTGAACAGAGTGGCTCGTCTTTGCGTAGCAGACATGACTCGATGGGCAGGTCTCTGGTTCTATCCTTATAGAAAAACCAGTTCTGCAGATTTATCGCTGTTGTGCAGAAATGATGTCACTCTTTATTGAGGAATTTCTGTTTCAGGCCGCTGAGGTTCAGGCTGGACTGTGTGACTGAAGACACCAACATGTTTTTTTGCCGTATTATTAGGAACAGCTTGCATTTAATTGCCAACCTGACCTGTTCAGTCACAGAAGGACAGCAGGCTGTATTGCTGTGTTGGTGCTCCAAAGTTGCTCCAAAGTTGGATCTGATTGTGAGCGGTCACAGCATTGTTCCCCGTCTCAGCGCGCTGATCTCTACAACTTTGGTGGGTCTGTGTCCACCACCACTGTCTGCCCTGCTGTAACTGCAGCACCAGCAGCACCCATTTAAACTGAGACTGTGTTAAACTGACAGGGGCTTGGTGGTCTAATACCATGATAACAGCTGTAGCTTTGTTAGCAATACACCTACAACCAATCAAGACAAGAGGAGGAAAAAACCTAAAACTCCCAAATTTTGTTTGGTTGAGAGTACACACACATCGCTGTGTGTCCTGCAGCTGAGTCCTTCTTCCTTTGTTTGCTTCCACATGTCTGTACATCCACATTCAGCCACCGACACTCATGCACAAACACACACACACACACTCGCACAATTTTACACTTACATTTGTGAAATATACACTCTTTTTTCATATTCCACATTAAATGAAGTTTTTACAGAATGTTGACAACAAAATGAAGAGAAAGACCTGCGAAAAGCACACTGGTGTACAGCATGAGTGTTTGTGTCCTTGTGGGGACCCTGTTTGCCCGCTAACGAGGTCTAAGGGGAGGGTTACAGTGTGTGCGTTTGAATGTATGCAGTATAGCTTTCTTGCCACCAGAGAGGTCCAGGGAAGTGATAAATTGAGCTGACAAACACAGAGGAATGATCCGTCCCATCTGTCCAGCTCTGTCGTCTCTCTCACCATCGTGCTGCCAACTTTAAGACTTGTTCTCCGTGTTTGTGTGTGTGTTTGTGTGCGTGTGTGTGCAGTTCCAAGCTTGAGCCAAAGTCCCTGTGTTTCTGAGCCCAGCTGTCTCGGATCCCAGAAAGCTGGAGGCAGTGAGTCTGAGCCGGGCTGCACACAAACTCTGCAGACACCGAGCTTTGGAAACGAAGTCAATGTGATCGAAAATCCCAGGAGTCTCTCTGTGTCTGCCTCTCTCATTCTCACCCTCGCTCAAACACACAACACACCCTCTCACGGTGTGTGTGCACTGTGTGTGTGGTGCAGAGAGCTGGCTAATCCGAACGTCCTCCAGAATAACTTCCCTCCTCCTCTGAAAGGCAGTTGTTGATGCTGGACGTCTGCTGGCTGACATTTAGTGTGTGTGTGTGTGTGTGTCTGTGTGTATGTGTGTTTGTAAATGTCTGTGTGTGTGTGTGTGTGTGTGTGTGTGTGTGTGTGTGTGTGTGTGTGTGTGTAAATCTGTGTGTGGGCATGTATGTGTGTATGCTAGTTCACATTTATGAGACGTGGAACAGGAACGCTGGCAGGATGGACACACACACAGTCACAGGGAGGAGGTGGAGGAGTGGGGCTGATGGCCGGCTGCTGCTTCTTGGCCCTGCAGAGTCCTGAGAGTCTATCGAGCCCTGGGCCAACAGAGCCTGAGCACAGAGGGGGGACAAAGGCACGAGCATTAGTGCACAAGTGTTTGTAACGCCTCATTCTGTGGTGTCCTGAAAATCTTATAAATGATGAAGCTGCTTGTTAGCTGGAAATCAATATACCTGTAAATCTATCCATGAAAGTTTGTATAAAGTCCCTCTGACCAGCTCCCGTTCTAATTACAGACAGCCACATTTCATTCTTCAGTACTAATATTATAAATCCAAAATTCGTGTGTCACTGGTGACTGCAGATTTCTGAAACAAAGCTTTTCTATCGAGCGGGTTCAGTTGTGGGCGGTGTTAGAACGCTTCATACCTCATATCTGGCTTCAGATAAAGTTTTCTGCAATTAAATATTAATTCTTCATCAATATATAATTTCCTACTTTTTCAGATGTGTACCGTTTAATCTTGTCCTGCTATAATAATATAATAATAAATCTACGTACGGCTGTGTTAAAGTCTCTCACCACTGACTGCATGTCAAACTCTCAGATATCCAAAATTGAATTTTGCTATCAATAATTGATTTATTTCTTTTGTAACAGTCAGCTGTAGATGGCGGCGTCACTTAACTAGAGCAAGCAACTCGGAGCGTGAACCTCTGAAAATGAAGCTGAAGAGGAAACATAAAGCGTAAAATCTGTGGTATTGCACATTTGTAACATCGCTTCACTTTTATTCTTTATGTTTATTTTGTTGCAGGAGGAGCAGTATCCTACTGTGGTCGCCGCCCTCAGCACAGATGGTGTGTGGAGGCCGAGCAGGAGAGGTGTCTGCAGGAAGGTAAAGTGAGTCACAGAGCTGAGCTTTTATGGGCTGCTAAATATCTGAGTCTAACTCTCTTGCTTGAGTTTCAGCAGGTAATTCATTTTGTGTCTCTCTGTTTTACAGACAGATCTCCACCGAGGCGCAGCCGCTCCTTTTCTTTGCCGCCACACTCTCTGCAGCTTCTTATTCGTGCATATTTCATGTTGGAAGTTCATCTCCAGCTTCAGGTTTGGCAATAATATATCAATAAATTCAAACAAAGTGCTCCCATGTTCTCCATCTGTCACGTGACTCTCCTCTCCAACCTGGGGTGGTAACAGCTGCTGATGAAGATATTAGTGTGGTGATCAAGTGTTAATACAGAGCAGCTTATTGGAGGGAGCCTCACTTTGTTTCCTCACACTACACTTTACAGTTCAGCTGTGGATCTTTAACCCGAAAACAGATGGAGGACACTCAGTGAACCGGCCACAGGGAGGCTTACACAGGAAGTCTAGCAGCGAACTCTTAGAAATGAGAGTGGGCGAAAACACTGCTCGCTTTTTAATGTGCCAGCTGTGAAACTGAGAGCTGAGTACACACAGCATCCCATCATACACCGTTTCTAAAAGACTACAGACACTACACTCATACGGTCAGTCACAGGTAGCCCCGCCCTAAACCCTTTTCTGGTCCTTTCTGAGTAACAGGACCTGAAACTCCAAAATGGACATGGTGCTTAAATCAGGCCTGAAAGCAGCGACTGACACCATAAGCTCATTGGGAAAGAGTTTCCTGAGCTCAGAGCCAGAGGCAGTTTCACCCATCCTTTAACAGTCTTTCCTGAAGATCACATCTCACCTCAGAATGATCTCCTCATAATCTCACTCGACCAAAAAGCCCATGCTGTAATAAAACACCACTTAAGTTTACTTTTTTCCATTATGTTGACCAATAATAAAAGCTTTCTCTGTGATGTAATAGTGGCCCTCTCAGACACACAATCAGAAGACGTCTAGCAAACAGGTGTCAAACTTCAGTTCTTGAGGGCTGGTGAGGTGGCAATTCAGCCATTTGATTCATGTTACAGCAGCTCATGAGTGAAAGCACAAGGTGCAATAAAAGTACTTTTAGAAGTAAAAATTTCCAAACACTTACATTTACTTACATTTATTTAAAATTACTTGAGAAGGGATAGGGGTTGCCACCTCAGCATGCAGTCAAGTTCTATTGAGTCTCGCTAATGACCTAATTTTATAAAAGGTTGCAGCAGGGACACATTTAAAAGTTTCAGGACACTGGCCATTGAGGACTGGCGTTTGACACCCCTGGTTTAGTATAATCAAGAACTTCCATTGTCTGGACTTGACTTCCTGTTCCATAAGGGGCGCTCTCAGGTCTGTCCAGAATGAACTTGCTCAGATGATTTTAGTGAAAGGGCTCTAAGCTGTCTGTCTCTGATAAAAATCATCTGTTCATTTTTCATCTCATCGTCTGATCTGATGATGCACGTCAGCGTCATATAAACAACCTGAACACCACATCAGCTGGTCCAAGTGATGGGGGAGATGGAGACCCCTCCACCCATTACTTCAACCATCGTTTTTAAAGTTTTGATCAGAGCTGCTCACCTCCTCGCACTCGAAGTCATCAGAGGGGATGCACTTCTGTCCTCCATCCTGTAAAACAAGAGCTCACTGTGAGAAAGTATCAGGCTGAGTATTGAATAAGATCCATCCATCCATCCATTCAGATCAGTAATAAAATGTGTGAGTGAACAAGGTGCTTTCTGATGAGTTTCAATAGAAAAATCAAGCCATGGTGCTGGACTGAGATCTGCAGGAATTTGAAGTGTGATCTCCCTCTGCTGAGAGTCTTCATCTGTAATATTGTGCAGAAGCTTGTCAGCGAAAGCTGAAGGCTTTAGTTGATCTGTAAAAACTCTCAGATTCTCTCATGGTGCACGCAAAGACCTCCACAATATTTTCAATAAATGATGGCGCCATTTTCCACAGAACTGACTGGCCAGTGCATGGGCTTAATCATGCTGTAACCACTGTGAACCCAGAGTTAAACCTCCCTAAATTCCAAACCCTGTATCACAGTACAGACCACAGACTAATAATCATAATGATTTTTATACTTATACTGAGGTTTTGATGCATATGCTCAATAATCCAGGTAAGTAAATCCCCAAAAGTTGATTCTGTTCATGTGGACGTAGCGCTTTCAGTGGGAGAAATGTTTCGTCACTCATCCGAGTGACTTCTTCAGTCTCAGCTGACTACAGGTTTCCCCAATCTTATAATGATTCACTTGCTTAAATCAAAAGGATTTAGTTCCAAAAAATACTCAGAGTCAGGTCCATAAATACCTGGACCCCACAGAGGTTTGAAATGCAGCATGCACACTTCAGCTTTAATTCAGAGGTAAAAATTACAGTCAGTGTTTTCAAAGGCTCTCGGGTTCTCTGCAGATGTCTGTCAAACTGAGTGGAAACAACAGATTCCTCAGAAACAGATCATCAATAATTAAAGCAGATGGTCAAAACCTGAAGTAAAATGTGGTGTTTGGACCACTGCTTCTGTGAGACCGTTAAAGGAAGCAGCTCCTCCACGTTTCAGCCTCCTCGGGTTTTTAAATCGAGCTCCACCTTCATTAAAATGCAGAGTGCTGATGATGACAAGGATGCACACTTATTTGTCCTCAAACACACACATGCCAGCATTTATCTCCGGCCTCCATCAGCTTCTTTGTCAGTGCTTCATTAGCATATCTCCTCCCGCTGCCTGGGTGGGTGAGTCAATCAGATCTTATCGCTCAGCGAGGAGGAAGAAAATTCTTTTCAGCGTCGGGGAAATCATCGCAAGTGGCCAGATCATTATCATTTCCCTGAAATATACATGCGCAGAGCCACAAATAGGCATCCATGTGCACGCGCACAGGCTTATTTAACCTGATCATTAAAGCGTGCAGATGATTTGCTATCATATGGACATCTTCTGACGCCGGATGCCTCTGCATGTCTGCTTCCTTTAAAAGAGCTGAAAATGATCGCTGTATTCACGAGCTTTGGGGAAAAGACACCATTATACAGTATGCATGAGGTGATATACAGCATCAACAGAGACGCAGCGCACAGCAGTATCACATTCCTGCCGATCCCTTTCTCTCTTTATCTGCCTGTTTTTCAGATGTAACTCCATCTGCACTGCCGGCTGTCCACAGAGCATTCAGACCCACTCCAAACATGCACGCTGACATCGCAGGTCTTTAGAAAGAGGCTTTGAAAGTGCTGACAGGTAGCCGTCTGCAGCTCTCTGCACTTGATGGAGGGCTGCAGGGTGAATTCATACTGTCACACTATGTTAAACGTGCAGTACAGGTGCTGTGAAATTGGATCATCTGACTGAGGGTTGGTCTCCTGTGCATTTACAGGTGCTCAGAATGCTTCTGTAGGCACTCTGGCATAAAAGGGTTGGTTGAAGAATGGAGACAGGAAAATAAACCATCCATCCATCGTTCTTCAGCAGTAGCCTTCAGCAGATCGCTGAACTAGAATTTAGTTACAGGTTACAGGAAGCCAGAGGTCACGTCCCATTTGGACCTCTGTGATTTGAACATTGTTCCACTTTTTAAAAAAACAAAACAAAAACCCTGTTTCCTCTCACTTCTGCTCAGTGGTTCTCCTTACTGTCAGATAGTGGGTTAGGTTTAGGTGGGACTCTGCACCTCATGAAACTTGATGAAAACTTGGGTCTGAGCAGACCATCACTGTGACCTGATGTAGTGTTTTCCAACTGAGGTCCAGGGGTTGTGGGAAACACTGAACAGAAATTCAGAAAGACAGATTTTTGATCATGATCTTTGTTTGTGTTGTCGTTTTTAAGTTTGGTTTTCTGACTTTTAGAAGAACTCATCCTTCCTGCGATGATCTGCTTTCACCTCGGCTCTTTATCCTTCCAGCCGGTTTCTCAAAGCCACATTTAACACGCCAGAGTTTACTTTCCATCTGTTTGCCTTCTTAACGCTTCCATCTTGGCAGTCTGTGAACTTCAAATGAAAACACTAAGCTCAGAACACACACGTCTTCATAAAGATGATCCACTGCAGCACTCTGCACCCACTCAGACATTACAGCTGAAATGCTGGCCACGATGTGCTGTGCTGTATGTGGACTGGATGCAGACTCATATCTGTGCTACAAGGATGTCTGCAGGCTGGACATAAAGGGAAGCACCATCGACCCTGAGGCCCGGTTGAGTTCAGACGACCATCACAGTGATCAACGCTGCAGCTGGACTGAGAGATGGGAAAACAGACACATGAGCTCCAATTCATCCGAACACTGTGCTCTGTGCAGCAAAAGAATTAAACAGAAAGAAATAAAAATGAATAGAAATGGTCCAAAAAGCAGGGACAATCCTCACGAGGAGGAACAAACTGAGTCATCTGCTCTTTATCTTAAGCCGAACAAATCCAACCCGTAAAGGTCCCAGAATTGCAAACCCTGGTCTTCATTCTTGCTGCACTGAAGAATGAGAATTACAGAAACTGTTTCCATTCCAGGAAAAGAGGACCAGAACTTTGTGCACTTCCTGTCACAGGGACCACCCTAGTGGGACCTTTTTTACCTCACTGTCACCATAAAGCTGCTGATCCTAAAGTTGGAACCACAGTCATCAGAGGCCATGTGAGAAGTAACTGCAACAAATGCAATAACTGGCAGATGCAGCCTTCAATTTCTAACACCAAAATTTATAAACAGTATCATAGGTGGGCGGAGCTTCTGGGTCTGAAGACTGCAGCCACAGGGGGTGATATATGTGGCTGCAAAACAAATCTACACCCTCTGCAAACACTTCTCTGATTTTATGCTCAATAACTTATTTTAGGTGATACTGAATAAAACAAAAAGTCACTTTTGTAAATTTTGGTCGTTTGATGTTTCAGAACGGTTTATCTGGGATACACGCACTGGTTAACTGTCAGTCCTAAATCATTAGCCAATGAGAGTTCCCTTTCATAGTCTCCCCCACCCCGTTCTCGTCACATGTCGTTTGAAAACACCAACATGTCAACAGTGGAAACTTTCATCTCGAGCCTTCAAACTGGAACCTCACAAACGAGTAGGTCAACTGAGTACATGATAATGATATGTAATCTCAAATCTGCTAAAAGGGCCTCTGGTTAAACGTCACTAAAGCACGCAGTGCACAGGGAAAAAAAGAGGGTACTCCAGGGTCAGAACTTCTAAGAAACTCTATAAAACTGCAAGGCAGGGTTTCTCCTCTCAAACCAATCACCACCAGTTATTTGACAACAATCAGCAACCACCTGGAAACCACAGTTACTGTCACTAACAGGACAAATCATCCTTCAGTTTCAAAGATCTGTAATAGAGGTAGTAGTAGAGGTATATACTTGCTTGTAGACACTGTGGATGGGCACATTGGTTGGCATGAAGCCATGCTATTCTGACATGGTAGCTGGTACATTGTAGTCTCGGTGAAGTTTGGTAGAAGCTGGAGGCCACATGTCACTCGAAGGTGAACTCACCTTCCAATGACAAAGCTCCAAGCTCACCCAGCCGTAACCAGAACTTCAAAACTTAGCATGGCTTAACTTGCTTCTGCTTCTGTTGTTGGGATTATGTGTGGAATTTACAGTGTGACTGAAGCTGTTACCAGTTATCAGAGCCTTTGAGTCCAGTGCAGTGGAAACAGGCTGAAGAAGTGTCACCTTTACAGGCCTGATCACTATGCTGTACACCGGCCTTTGGTTAGGGTTACCAGACATTGATTATTACAGTCAGGGATGCATGGCTTTGTAATTGGAAGATGGAACAACACTGCTAATTAAAGGTTCGTGGAGCCACCCGTCAACCTGAACCTCCACCTTAGGTGTTCTTTTTTTTACTAAAATATCAGCTGATTTCCTGTTTTTGTCCCATCATGAGAATTCTGACCACTGGAAAGCTGCTGGTGTTTAAGCACAATTTCCAGAAATGCCTGAGATATCTGCACAAAATAGAGCTATTGCTACTTTTAGCTGCTCCCTCCTTCCCAGCAGGGACCTCCATATGTTTGATTTGGCAGAATTTCATATTGGATGCTCTTCCTTCAACCCCAGAGGGATTAGTGTCTCCTCCGCACAAAATATTAACTGTAAAACTCTTTTTCTACTACAAAGACAAAGAGAATAAAAAAAACCCATATGTTTAGGTGTACGAGTGCACCAAAATAAATGAAAGTCTTCACATATTCAAGGCTTACGATCTAAAACAGAATGCCAAAATCCACAAACTGCTCCACAGCAGACAAATAGGAAGAAGACCCCAGTCTGCAGAACTGCAGACTGGAGTTTATTACAGACACATCAGCTTCAGCTCCAGTGTCAGTGATACTAACTCAGTATTTTGTGACTCCAAAACTGAAATGTATTAGAGGTGTTCCGGGATGGCATGAATGCTGGCAATGTGCTTAAAAAATAAGAACATTGCAGCTTTGGCTCAACCTTTAATTTTCCACATTGGCACAAGACTGCCAACACAGAGCTCAGACAGACCGAAAGAAAAAAATCTGTTAGACATTTGGCTGCATGTGAGGAAACCATCACATAGAAACAGCTGAAGCCAAAACCCTCCAACAGAGGATGGCTGGACTTCAAGACTCAACAT